AACAGCCCGAGAAAACAGTTGTGTCATCGTCCGATTTTCGCGCTCGGCTGAACAATCAAAAATAATAAGCCATCAAGGAGAATTTATCGCAACGGTGTATCGCCGCACATGCTGAAAGTCGAACGTGGGCCAAGGTGGGCGTAGAGGCGTGTAAACGAACGCTGCGGCCATTCGCGCATGTTCTAAGTCTCAGTACATTTCCCAGGGGTAGTGAGCTGCTACGCTGCTACGCTGCTACGCGGAAGTGCACGGGCTACGCTGCCGCGTAGAGCAATCGATAGCGCTACGCGGCATACATTGCCGTAGCGTAGAGCAAACCCAGCAATTCCCAACAAAGCTAGTTCCGTTCTCAGCGGAGCGCCTACACATAAATCGTTACAGCTAACCGATTAATTGAGCTGTGTTTTATATGAAACGGGCTCGCTTAATTAGTTGTTGTTTATTTGAATGACATAGAAATCTATTGTTTGTAGTAGGAGGGTTTATACAAAAACCCACATTTTAGAAAACCGGTTTTCGAACATTTTAACCGGTTCAACCGGTTTTGAGTTTTTTGGATCGAATAATTGGAGCAATAAAAATTAACAGCAAATTTCGAGTTATCCAAAGTAGTTTTTGACTGAAATAATTTACTGTTCAAATTGATTGATAATAAACTTTTTTATGCAATTAGTAACAAAAAATAATAATTAACCAGTATTATACAACTTTAAAACATGTTTTTTATTCGACGGCTATCGATTTGCAACGCTGTTTTTTATCAATATGGTACATTTGGATATATTTGTTAATTTTAATTTTTTAAGTTATTTTCAATTTTTTACAAAAAACGGTTTACGGAATCCATGATTTTCTTCTAATACCAGTTTTCAAAAATTTGCAAACCTTAATTTGTAGTAATAATGGTCAAGATTCATATATAATGTTTATTAAAATTAATAATATGTATGATTTGCCTAAAATGGACAGATAGTGAAACTGTAGAATAAAAAAAAATGACTTTAAACCCATGGTAATGTAAACAAAATTTATACTTATTGTATAAATCTCTATAAAATATATGATAATTTGATGTGCATATGTCTAATGATTATTTTTGACCGCCAGATGGCATTTTTTTACTTTTTTTACTAGATCTCCGAAACCGCTAGACCTGCCTTCATGAAAATTTGATCAGTTCCTCAACTTGTTAATACAAGTAAAACGTTTTTAAAATTAATTAAAATTAATTTTTGAGAATTATTAAAATCGGACGCTCCGTTCTCTTAAAAACTGAGTTGCCGTTTTTGGCACTTTGTGCCCCTTATCTTCGGAATGGCTAGACTTGGCTTCGCCAAAAACTAATCAGCACGTCTCCTTATCAATACGAATCGTATGTTTTTTGAATTATTTAAATCGGTTGATCGGTGTTCCCGAAATCGTCGACGAAAATTTGTATCCGCACACACACACACACACACGCACACACACATACGCACACACACATACACGCACGCATACACACACATACATCCATTTTTTTAAGGTATGCCAAAATATTCAGAAACCTTTGAAACAAAAAGATATATAAAAACATTCATTTTCGATTTTTTTGCGATTACTATAACTTGCCCTACGGGAAGTTAAAAAAAATAAGTAAATTTGGCATTAATATTATATTTTTGCGAGATGTTTAAAGTTCAAGTTTTGCGTACAGAATGATGAATTTTTTCATAATTAGCTAGTTTAGGGTAGGAAATTATTTTATTGGTGTCAGGTAGAGGAAGATAGATGTATGAGATTTGTGAGGCTTAAACAATATTGTTTAAATTTTTTTATGATATTGCCGCATGCGATTTTATCATAATGCATATAAAAACTACAACTTTCATTTTTTTTGCTTGTTTTTGCAAATTTTATGAAATCCTGATCTTAACGTTTGATACATGGAGTTTCGAAAGACGCTATGTTTTTTTTTGTTAGCGATTTGATTATATTACAAAATAATATGATATAATTAAGTTTAGTGCATCTCCGTATTCTCGTTATTATTAGATTTACTATTTGAAGGGATGAAATTACTGTACTAATATATCTAGCTCCGCCAGTTTAGACGCTTGATGCTACTTTTTGCGCTCAGATTCATAGATAAGTGATAAAAATGATCAGAATTAAATCGCGTAAGAGTATAATTTAATTTTATTAAAAAAATCATGTTTGGGTAGTTAATTATTGTAAAATATTTACAACTATTCAATAATTGTATATATTTTATTAACAATATCCTGAGTTTGTAAGTGTTAATTCTCGTAATAGTTCTGTCACATACTTTAAAGAGATTACTATCACAAGTAATATATTGTTGTATTTGAACTTTTGACTAATGCGTTTTATTATTTATAAAAAACTTATAACGTTAATACATCTTCAACAATACAAATACAAATTTCAACACATACAAATCTTCCAACAAAGCAGCTGCTGCTAGTGTTTTAGAAAAGCATGGAGAAGTAAGAGCAAGAGGTAGAAAAAGAACAATGGTTGGATAATTTTATTTATTCAAAATCACTTAAATTCTATTTTTTTATATAAAATTTCACCTTATTAAAAAATATTTCAAATATTTCATTTAGAATATTATTAAGTTTCATAAGACTTAATATATTACTGAATACATATGCTCTGCACAGATTTAAATGAGAGCTGTTTTATGTTTAATTTTGAAAAAACGTACAATCATAAATAAATCATCAAAATGTAAGATATAATTGAGAATAAAAAAAATGAAAACTATGTAAAACAGTACAAAGTATAAATTGCTTCACTATCGATTAAAAATCATTTCCAAACACATCCAGCGATATTTTTTATTATTCGAAGAGGCGTTGATAATGTTCGGTAAAACATCCATTAATCATTATGAAACAACGCGGCACGGTATCGGGGAATCAAAGCCTATGAATACTCTATGAACGGCTACGCGCAACCCGCTACGCCCAACCGGCATACCGATATGGCCTCGTGTTTAATTTATGTATACCCAGTACACACTGGTTTAGTCGCCGTGTAAAAATGACATTAATGAATGATTTTACGTGGACCCGCCGCAGAGGGTTTTGTTTACTCTCCAAATTTCCCCTTTTCAATGAACATTTGAAACGTGATGGATTCACGAAGATGGCAGCTGCGACACTTTCGAGTGGCAATTACACTAATGATTCAATTCACACATAATATGCATACATAATTTCATAATTAAGCAAAAAAAATTGTTACTGTATGAAAATGTTTTTACTTATAAGGATTTTTAATTATCCAAGACGACTGGACGTAATAAGTTTTGTTAGTATATGACCTTATCTTATTTAATTGTTATTTACAAATATATTCAGCAACAGTCAACTTGTAATTGTAATAAATAGATACAAATTTTACTCATATTGGAACTTTAGAATAACATCTAATTTCATATCAACTACTAATTCGATATATCTATATAACATAGGTTTTATAAAAAAACTAATATTCATAAAAGACATGAGGAATAAGGTTGGCAACTAAGTAAATGCGGTTTTCAATTGAATTGTTAGGTTTGCTGACGTAATTCGAATCTAAAATACCTTTTATACCTAGTTGACACGCCGCTGGGTGTTGCTACTATCTTCTGGTTTGTGTTGTAAGGTAATTATTGTTAGCAATCTCTGCTTAATGTTAATGCTCATGTAAAACAGATTGCAGAATAAATTTAATAAAAAAAAATACCTTTTGGTAGTCGATAGTGAGCAATTTAGATGTCCATGAATAGAACAGAGTTTTTTTTATCTATTGCATAGTTTTCGTTTGGAGTTCATTGGAATATGAAAAACAAATCGAATATTTTCATCATATTTTGCTTTTTTATTTCTGTAAAGTTAAAGAGGCATCTTAAGCTCACGAATTGTTATGAGCTGTTTATAGTAACAAAGCCTTAAAAAATGACAGTATCAAGATCGTCCACTTGACATTGATAACAAATGTATACTTTACTCTTCCCACCGAACCGAATGATCAATTTTGATTTATACATTGAATCACTAACGAATTTTATTTAATTTTTTTTTTATTATTAATTACTTTCTGCTACACTTGGGACATTCAGTAATTGTTTTGACTTCATTATTATATGGATTTTTGAATGGATGGCAACCCAGTAGTTGTCCAATCCAATTATGACTAATTGACTATACTCGAAGTATTTGTTGACATTATATATATATATATATTTATATATATATATATATATATATATATATATATGCAACTGTACCCACGAGCGGCGATTTTCACTTGAGGCTATATTTGAGATCTATAACCTCAAGTGGAAAATTGATATCAAAGTTGCCTGATGTCGGGCTTTGGCGGTGGCGGGAATCGAACCGGCGAACCCGGGACTAGTTGGTGCGAAATATCATTGGCCACTGGACAAAAATTTGAGCTTGGTTGGGGTGTTTTATTCTATTCACCATACAGTCCTGACCTTGCACCTTTTGATTACTTTTTGTTTCGATCCTTACAAAACTTCTTTAATGGTAAACAATTCAATGGCAAACATTCAATGATTATCATGGTATCAGATTGTACTTGATTCAGTTTTTTGCTAACAAAAATCAGAAGTTTTATGAAAGTCGGATTATGAAGCTGCTTGAAAGATGAGAAAAAGTCATTGGCAAAATGCATAAAGTTTGAATAAAGTTATCTAGTTTCATGAAAAACATGTCTTTGATTTTCTAACAAAAATTCGCATTCACTTAGCTGCCAAGCAAATAGTTTTAAAACTACTATGGAAACAGTTTCTACAATGTTGAACATCTTTTTTTGACAAGATTTAGATCATATTATTTAGACTATAATTTCAACATAGAAACCAAACTGATATTATTAAACGGATATGCTTAACGATTTCTTGCTATCAAACCGAATATGATAATTCCCGATTTTAAAAGGCGTGTCTCTTCCGAGTCATAATAAAATTTGAGACTCACCTGTAACTTTGTCTCTTATCAGCTTGCAGCTTTCAACTTCTCCAATACTCGAAAAAAGCGATCGGATTTCTTCTTGTGTCATCGTCTGTGGCAAATAATTGACGATGAGATTAGTTTTTGATTCCTCCTGCGTGGTGTTTGTTCCTGCTCCGCCTCCTCCATTATGCTGACCCACAACACTTGAGTCCAAACCGTTTGTCATCATGCTTATTTATAATTCCCTTGCCTCAATGCGAAAGTTCAAATTCGGCCAAAATGTAAAAAAAATCTCTTCTGAATAACGAAGAGTAAATGTCTGTTTCTGATCTTGGTCCGAAATATTAATTGTCGCAGTTTCTCGTATTTCTACTATAAATCGATTTTCTGTACAACTATATATATTTATTTATATGTTTTTTATTTTTCTTTAGAAAAGCAAAAAAAAGGTTTCAAAAAACGTTTTTCTTTCATATACTATGCTTTTTCAGATAAACTCTTAGTAAATAGGTATGGCTTTTTGAGACAGTCTTCATCGATTCAAGTGGATATTTTTGTGTTGTCTATTTATGTTCATTTATTTTTATGGATATATAGTGACACTTCAGCTTTTATACTTTAATTTTCCTAAAGTCTATAACATAGTATATTCTAATTAAATTTTTGATTCTTGTAATTCGTTTGTTTCTTCATCTGAAAAAGAAAAATAAAATGTTAGTTTTATTTGTTGAATTATCGTAATATATATAAATACACACACACACACACACATATATATATATATATATATATATATATATATACAAATAGTTCCAAATTGATAAAAAACAATTCTCTGAAAGTTTTTGCTCTTAATATTGTCGTTTAGATAGAGCGCAATTCAATTAAAGTTTTGTATGGAAATAGCATGAAAAAATTTTCAAAAATTTTGCAGAGCGTCGAATTTTCAATAATAAATGACACGAATGTTCACTTTTAATTTATTTGTCGCTAAGTTATACCTAAAACATTTTTTTCAATTTTCAAAATTTGATTTCAAAGTTTGATTGAATTGCGCACCATCTAAAAGTTAATATAAAGAGCTAAAACTTTCAGAGAATTGTTTTTTATCAATTTGGAACCATTTCAGCCCTTGGGAGCAAGGAAATTCAAAAATGTTCATATTAAGGACCACCGTAATATATATATATATATATATATATATATATATATATATATATATATATATAAACAGATAGTTTTTCGAATCATTCAAATCGGATGTTTAGTCCTCTTGAAAAGTGCATTTTTTTGCATATTAAGCCTTGTATATTCATCCGAAATGGCTGACCTGGCTTTGCCAAAAACTGATCATCACTTCTCCCCATCATTACAAATTGAAGTTTTTTGGATTATTTAAATCGGATGCTCCTTACTCTTAAAAACTTGATTTCTATTTTCTGCACTCTTTGCTCCGTATCTCCGAAACGGCCCTGTCTTTGCCAAAAACTAATCAGCATATCTCAAAAAATTTTAATTTAGATTTTTGACGATTAAAATAACCTACCCTACTGAAAGTTAACAATTGAAAACGACATTTCGACCAACGCGCTGACTATTCGATGTGAGCATTCCCGAACTCTCTGATTGTGAAGGGTTAAAAAAAAATTGCATTCAACTCCCTTGACATGTGCTCGTCAACATAAACATGCTAAGTCATTGCCGTTGTGTATTATTTATTTATAAATTTCCACTAGATAATGGTCAACAGTATGACCATTGATGCAATATTGCGAGAGGGATGGTTTTTACAAAGGGCATTTTAGTAAATGAATATGAATAGTTGTGTTAAATATTTAAATATCTTGTCTACCTGCTTATTCTCACTTTTATTATGGAAATCGTCGACAAAAATTTGTATTCAAACACACACACATATACACATACACACATACATACATCCATTTTTTCTAAGGTATGCCAAAATGTTTAGAAACATCTGAAACGTGAATTTTCATTTTCGATTTTTTTGCAATGATTATAACTAACCCTACGGGAAGTTATTGTTACTCATATATGTGTGACATAAAAAATTATGTTTTTCCAAAAATTTTGCTTTTATACATTGTTTCCTTGAAACATTTTTAATTCTCAAAAATTTAATGAAGTTACCATGACCCATGTAAAAAAATTTCTAGTATTATCGTTCTGATAAGGGCAATTACTGATATATTTGTTCGAAATTTCGCATATAAAAATACTTCACAAAAAACTTGTATTCCATAATCAATAGCATATTAGAGCAATATCGACTATCTGTTTTTTTCTTTGATTCTCTTTATTTAATTTTCAATTTAGCCTTAAATCTTACAAAGTTCTAACAATAACTCTGATCATTTATATAATATTGAATGAATAAAAAAAACCACAGAAATATTTTTTTTAGTTATGAATCGCAACTATTAACTATTTTATTTTGTTATGATTTTCCTTTCGCAAACCGCCTTTTAAAAATAACTATTAGCGGCTTAAGCACCCCAGCATCCAAACTCAAACCAGTACTACTAGATTAAACAAAACTCGTCCTTTATTCATGTAGGTACTAAAACAAAATTTGCCAATATCTCGTTTTCACATTTGCATAAATAAAATCGATATACGTGCATGCAATAGCGAGGGAAAGCTACTTTCTATTCTAAAAGGGGGTGCGATTCTTAACACACGCCAAATTCTAATGCAGATGGTAAAAAATGATTGGCTAAAAATCCTGCTATTCAGAATATTTAAATAAAGATTAGTAGACATTCGAGTTTTGATAAAGATTTTGAGTGTAAATTCGAATTCGAATTTGGCGAAATCAAGTTATAAACGCATCTGCAATAATTGTTGAAAATAATTAAATTTCTGACTTGGGCTCACGCGTGGTAGAGAAATGAACCTGGAATCAGAGGTTCCTTGTTCGATACCCGCCTCGGAAAAAACTGATGTCGAGCAGCAACGACATCAGTTTTGTTCAATATTCAAGCGTATATATTCTTTCATCAAGTATGTTCTTCTGATTTTGTTTTTAATTAGTATGTAAATTAAAATTTGTCGCAAAAACAGATATTTAGTAATTAGATTGTAGTTACAAGGAATACAAATTTTAAAAGGTTACCCAAAAAAAGAATAGTTCATTCAACTGATTGACATTCAATTTTCAACTGATCGTTTATATCCTGTAATTTCAATGGTTTTTTTAGTCTTCGAATATAAACTATATAATATATAATCTTTAAATATAAACATTTAAACAATTTTATCCATTGTCTTAAGAAAATTACGATGTTTCAAATATAATAATTCTGGTACTATTTATTTTTAAATATTGCGCATACTTAAGCACAACTAAGTAGGAAGGTCGCTAACACGACGTTGAAAATTCAGGAAGCTTTACACGTTTAAATGTGTAAGTATAAAGGTGTTTACACACACATCAAGGTGTATATTTACACACATACGTACATATATATATATATATATATATATATATATATATAAGTTTTCAAGTTTGTTACAGCATTGATGGGACAATAGTGTTGAAAAAAGATTTTTTGACGAATGTCGAAATCTTAGCATTTTTTTATTTCCTTAAAAATAGCAATCAAGGCACAATTATATCTTATAAGCTATTGTTGCACGAAAAGAGAGAAACAAAATAGATTAGAAGAAAAATAATAATTTAGAATTCACTTAAAGGAGAGGAGTCTATGGTTTCATTTATGTTAGTAAAATAACACTAAAGAACCAAATAATAGAAGTGAGTCATTATTTTAGAAAATATTACATTCTTATTAGGCTCAAGCTGCAACATTTATAAATGGAGAAATTATTAAATATTGATTCTCTAAATGATTCATATAATAAATATCAATACCGCAAAAGTAATCATATATAATATAAAAAATATCATTTTTTAAATACATTTTAATGTACCTTTCATAAACTATTTTATATATCCTCAAGATTATAATACAGAAACCAAGTAATAAAAATATTAAAATTACGAAGTATGTAATTGGTTTCGAATTGCGAAACAACTTTATCAATAAGATATTTTTTATGCATTTACTGGCTTAATAATATATTTGTAGATCGAATTTTTTTTTCTGATGGTGCGCTAATTTGCAAACAAAATTAAATATATTTCGATTTTCATATGATGAAAAAACTTTACAGATCAGCGATTACATCATAAAGTTAAAATACATAATTATAAAATTAAAAATCCAAATAAAGTATTATTTCATATTTTCAAAATGTACTAATTTTATATAAGCCATAAGCTTAATTTAAAACAGTGTGATCGGCCGTGTCGTTTCATTCACGTTTTTTAGTTTACTTAATGTATACAATTTTGAATAAATTTTAAAAATTCACAAACTGTTCGGAAAATATTAAATGGGTTAAACGTTAAAACGTTAAAACGTTAAAACGTTTAAGCGGTTAAAACAAATTTGGTTAAAAAAAATTTTGACGATTTTGATTAAACTTTGTGTAACCACAGATTTTGTAGCCTGAAATAACACACCTAAATATTGTATGTTAAATTATAAAAAATTGTCAAAGATTATAATTGCGCCACCGGTTTAAGCGATTCTAACTAGAATCTATGTCGAAGCAAATGTACGTTTCGTGTTCCGTTTGTATCTACTGATTAAAGTTGACGTCCACACTTAAATAGATAACATTTTAGACAGGTGGATGAAATGAAACGTGTAAAACAATTTAATTTAATGTATACATTTATAGATATTATAAATATGTTTGAAAGTCAATGGGAAATCATATTGATCATTTTCTAGCAGAAGCTAAAATGTAATTTTTGAAATAAACAATTGAATATTTTATCTACATAGCTGAATCCCAAATTCATATCGATTATGTTGAGCATACGTATCAAAGAAATTCATGTAACTTGCCTCAAGGCAAAATTCTATTTACTACTAGTTAAATATATTTCGATTTTCCTTCGATAAGGAAACCGAATCGAGTAGACGTCTGTACATCGCGAGTGCGCGCCGAATAGAGCAAGCCGTGGAACTTCTAACGAATTCTGTGACAAAAATAGTTTCTAGAATCACTCTCTCATCGCGAACGTAAGATAGTTAGAAAGCCTCTACTAAATACTATTACGCATATGCCGAATAATGCCGAAATACATCAATGAAATCGTCATATCCTTCCAGATTCAGTTTAGTTGTGATATTGTGAATATGAAACAAATTGTTTTAGTTAACTCCAGTTTATATGAGCACTGAAGATGACATAAGATTATATGCTGAAACGTATGGAAATAATGGATAATATAAAATATATATATATTATTATTAGTTTTTGATATTATCACGAATCAAATACTTCGCACCTGCGCTTTTCAGAATCATGTTTCATCAAGATAAACAAAAACAGCATTAACAAACGGAACGATACCTCTTTGTGAAAATTATCAAGTAATTTAAAACCATCTTACATAACTAATTTTTGTGAA